GCGAAACAGAAAACAGGAGAATAAGCAAATCATTCATCCAACCATCTATAATAATCATAATCATAATAATAATGACAATAATAATTAATACGTGAGTTATGCATCTACTTTGGCTTCTTCTCTACATCTTCATATTTTTCTGTTGCTTTCAATTTATACCAATTGAATAATGATTGTAATGTGTTAATTTTCAATGGTACATCATCACAATGAACCAGATAGTCTCGATCATGTTGTTTAGTGAAATTCATTCGATTTAAATGAAACAATCGTTGTTGGTGTTGTTGTTGTTGTTGTTGTTGTTGTTGATGTTTATGTGTTTGATTTGCTATGAGTATTTCCATCAGACAACCAGTAGATTGATGATGGTGCTGTTCGTCCGACAAGCACAGACGATGTTCAAATAATTCTGTGTTAGACCAAGATGATAAAGAAGCTGGACTGATTGGACTTGCGAATTGTGGTCGATGACCGATGCTCGATTGGCGGTATTAGCCACAAGTACTGTGTGCTGTGTACAGTACACGAGTGAGGATAAACGGATGCATTTGACACAAAATTACAGAGCATCTCAATAGAATCTGACAACTTTATATTAAATCGATCATTTGCAAAATGTCCACCAATTGTCTCAAAATCACTCACACTTCATTGTTCTTACATTTTCATACAAATTGCATTCTACTCGCGCGTTTGCTTTCTTCATCTTCTCTCATCTTCTGCTGCCAGACATTACATTCCTGACTCGCATAATATACTACTTATATGAATATAAGTAGCACGCACCACAGTCCATAAATATGTAAGCAAGTAAATAAGTGAGTAATTCATTGCGTCAGTACTATTATCTCTCACCTATTGCACTATACTCTTATCTACATAAAACCACTTATTTCCATCAAGTGTAAATAGCTGAAGTTCATCAACTACACAAATGGAAATGGAAGGCGAAACAGAAAACAGGAGAATAAGCAAATCATTCATCCAACCATCTATAATAATCATAATCATAATAATAATGACAATAATAATTAATACGTGAGTTATGCATCTACTTTGGCTTCTTCTCTACATCTTCATATTTTTCTGTTGCTTTCAATTTATACCAATTGAATAATGATTGTAATGTGTTAATTTTCAATGGTACATCATCACAATGAACCAGATAGTCTCGATCATGTTGTTTAGTGAAATTCATTCGATTTATTTCATAGCTCTCTTGTTGGGGTTTTTGTTTTTATTTTTGCATTACTAATAAAGTAGCTCTTCGTATTTTCTTCAGACAATCCTTTGATCGGATATGGTGCTACTCGTCCTACGAGGACGGTCGACGTTCAAATGATTGGATCTCGAAAATAACGATTCCAGACTTTGTGGATTTTAGAATGTTCCAGCCATTCTTTGCCGTTCTCCTTTCTCACTTCTCGCGTTCTTGCATACATTCTGTTCAAATGAACACAAGCCATCTGCATACGATCACGTCAACCAACCGGTGATCACAATTAAACATTGATTCACGCATTTCTCGGTCGATCAATCAACGCTCAGTGTACCACAATGTGCATCCACAAAATGCATCTCACATGAAACTGAGCAGACTATAGTCAGCTGCCAGTGAAAGAGTTATACACTCTAGTCGCTGAAACATGACTGCCGTAGGTTGTAATTAATGTTGCAGTCTACAGTATTATCTTTTTCACGAAATTTGTGACAAATCGATGAGGAATTTTGTGACACATTGGGACACTGTACTCGCACATTGATTAGCAAACTGACTAAATATCATCTGAGTTTATGTCTGCTTCCATGCGTGTAAGGCAACCACCTTTTGTCTATCCTTCTATCTCAATATCTGTCTCTCAGTCTGTCTGTTTGTCCGACCGTCCGTCCATCGCTGCGTCCTTGCCATCATCCGTCTGCATCTCTGTCTGCCTGCCTGCTAGTCTGTATCTCGCTATCTGTCGCTGTGTATCTCTTAGTACTTTGTCCGTTTTTCTTTGTGTCTGTGTGTGATTTCGTCTATCTCTCGTGTTCTACTGACTGAATGATTCGCTGTGTGGTTCTCTCAGTGACTAATTGACTCATTGGCTGACTGACCGATTATCATACACATAGTTCCCTTTATCATTTTGAAAAGACCGATTATCGTATTGTCTGTCCTCCTTTCTGAATGCCTGAGTATGTGGCTGTGTATTTGTATATCTGCAAGACTCCGTTTATTTGTCCTTCTCTCCTTCCTCTATTTAGTCCATCGCTATGTCGTTCTCTATTTCTGTCTGACTTTATCACCGTCTGTCTATATCGTGATCACTCAGTCGGTCAATAAATCACTGCATAATATGGACTACGTATGGATTAATTTTTAAAATAACGCAATAACGAAGTCGTTTTCACAGCGATATCCACCAACTCTTTTCTATTATGAATCACTTTTGATGAAATCACAGTTATAAACATTATTTTCTTCTTTATTATTAATTTAGGAAAGCGTGGTAGTTGCTTCAGGCGAGACTCTAATTTACGGACCAGCCAATCAGAAGCGTCTGAGGATTTTCAAGGTCACGGCGCCAAGTTCAACACCTGATGCTCACATACGATCGGTTTACAGCAGATTTTGGAGAAGTAATTATTGCGCGGCTACAATAGATGAGACTACTAAGACGTTCCTGTTCCTGTGACTGCGGTAATCAAATGTCGGTGTGCAGACTATCGTGATGAGATTATATTTCGTTGTTCTTTATGTGAGAGAAAAAAATCTGCTCGGACTGGGACTTTGTTCGCTCGATCATGACTAAGACTAAGGCGAATCATGATAATAGCTGCAAATTGGATTATAGAGTCACCAGTAACATTGGCTGAGGCGTTTACAGATGTTACGGAAACTTCAGCCGTCCAGTGGTTTGAGTATTGTCGTGATATATGTGCAAATAAAATAACACGCCTACGCAAATCATTTGGAGGATTCGGAAATATAGTGGAACTAGATGAAACAGTAGTGAGAAAGCAAAAATACAACAAGGGACGTTGTATCAAGGAAGATTGGGTAAGTGGCACTTCCGTTAATATACTTGACAGGTACCTGGATTTTATGATCGCTCAACCAAATAGAAGCATTTCCAAAGGGTGAGAAACCGTCAAGTAACCACAATAATACCAATTATAAAGAAATACGTGCAGCCGGACACTACGATATATACAGATGATTGGAAAGCGTATAGATGACTCCATAGATTTGGGTATGTGCATCATGATTGGCTAATAGTTTTCAAGGTCAATTAAAACTCGTTCAAAGGGCACCCGTAAAATAGAGTCTCCCCGTTGTTTCACACATCGATCTCATTCGTTTACCGCGATTATTACATATCCTATTCATTGTGTCATCACCATAAATTATTCATTTGCTTACATATGTATAACGATTATTTCAAGACCAAATTATATATTAAAATAACTTACGGATATGCAAAAATGAAGATGAGCTTACTACACGTGCATTTCGTGTGATATTCAGAAAAATATCCCCAAAATTATCCCGTAAAGTCTAATGGTATGCTTGGACTTAAAAAGGGACATTTCCTATTGGTCAATATTTATTTCACGTGTCGTTTCCCTAATGGTCAATATTTATTGCATGTGTCATTTTCCTGTTGGACAAATATTGTACAAATGTTATTTTCTATTTTATGGTACGATGTGGTCTGCTTGATTGGTATGTAAACAGAGTATGTTTGAAATATAACGATTCATATCTCAGAGGCTGAGACTTGCGTTCTGGACTCAACTGGCTGGGCTAGACAAGGAAGTAGCACAAATCAGAACTCTAAGCCGTTCTTACGTTTTTACGCGCCTTTGGTCCGATCGATAGTTCACTGCTCTCTAATCAGCGGTCCTCACGTATAGCAATTGGTGACGGGGTAAAAATTGCAATCCAAGGTCAGTCTGTAATTGCACGGAATTTAGTCTAATTATTTCCATCAATCAGCAACCAGATTTGTCATCGGTGTCGTTGGAAGACATTGGTTGTTAATTAATACAGTAATTTTTATTACCGGTGCTGATTCCAAAAAAATAACTCCATTCCGATCGATTACAGCTGCTACTTGAACGACATTTAGAGTTTTCGGTCAATTTACGCACGCAGCTGCGGAATCACTCATGCTTTGGAAATGCGACGGAAGTGGATGGATATAATATTTCAATGTATTTGAATTATCATATGAACTATTATATATTTATTTATTAATTTATTTGGACACAAATATTGGTATAAGAGAGTGCCACACAAAACAATGAGAACTCAAAGAGAAGGAAAAAAAGGTAAGGAGTGTAAAAAAAAAGAGAACAATAGCGAAGATATTGGTGTAGGGTAGTGTAATAATGATAATAATAACAATAATAATAATAATATTAATGGGGGAACGGAAAAGTACAATCAGAAGAAATCTTTCAGTTAAGTAAGATACAACCACCTTTTACAGCAGGATCGCCACTGGCTTCTATTCTGAGCCATATCTGATAACGTCTCTAGCCACTGTATAGCACCATCTCTCGGACCCCAGCCAGGGAGTCGTGAAGGACCAACAGAAGCCAGTCCTTTGCAGCTTTCTTTCATGCCACGACACCATGTCATACAGCGACGACCTCTCCGCCTTTTCCAACCGGCTCCGGCGTCGGCAAATAATGGACGACGTGGAATTCTCTGGGACGACATTCGTAGAACATGTCCAAGCCACCGAAGTCGGTGTTTCAAGATGGTGACATCAACTGGATTATCGTCTCTGTGCCCGAACACACGATGCCGAACCTCTGCATTACTAACATGGTGTTGCCACTGGATGTGAGCAGTCCTTCGGAGACAACGATGGTCAAGCACAGAGAGTCGTCTAATATCTTCAACTTGGAGTGGCCAGGTTTCATAGGATAGAGCAGAACTGCTCTCACTGACGCGTTGTAGATCCGACCGTTTGCAGCCAGACTAACATCACGAAGGTGACAAAGGTGGCCCAAATTGGCATAAGCCGCTCTGGCTTTCACTATACGTGCATTGATCTCATCACTTACACCCCCACCAGCACTTATGCAGCTACCTAGATACACGAACTACTCGACTACTTCTATCTGCTCACCATCCAGGGTGAGTACAGGATTAGAATCCTGCCAGTCTTGTAGAAGTACTTTGCACTTCAAAGATGCGAAGCACATACCGTACCTACGGACACTGATTGCCAACTGATTAAGTGCGGATTGCATGGCTTGGGCATTAACGCACAATAAGACAATATCATCCGCATACTCAGGGTCGAGAAGTCTTCCTCTGCGCAAAAGATCCACACCGCCATTACTTACATCCATCAGGGTTGTTTGCAGAATGTCATCGCTGGCAAAGTTGATGAGGAATGGTGAGATTGCGAAACCCTGCCTAACCCCACTGCTCAAATGGAACAATGGAGAGAGGTGGTTGTATGCCCTCACTCTGCCTGAGATGTTTGTATATAGGGCCCTTAAGATGTTAATAAACTTCTCACACACACCCTTCTTCAATAGACAATCCCAGAGAACAGTCCTATCCAACGAATCGAAGACAGCCCTGATGTCAAGAAGCCCTACGATTGTTGGCCTTTGATAATTATGACGGTGTTCCAACATTTGGTGGAGGGTGACGATATGATCAATACATCCTCGACCAGAACGAAACCCAGCCTGCTCCTTACGAGTCAATCTTTCTCGGGTTTTGAACAACCTACGAAGTATGATGGAAGCCAATAGCTTGGGCGCAATTGGAAGTAAACTTATCCCCCGATAGTTATTACAAGAACAACGTGAACGCTTTTTAAAGATAGGGACAACTATCGACTCGTTCCATGACTTTGGTACCCTCTCTAGTTCCCAGACCTTTGTAAACAGCGTCGTCAGTTCCTTAGTCAGAAAGTCATCATCATCTTTAAAAAGAGCGGCGGTAAGTCATCTGGGTTAGGTGATTTGTAGCGCTTCAAAAGTTGGAGTACCTCGCGAACTTCCGCCTCATTTGGTGGATCCGTCGTCAATGGTCATGGAGGACAGGAAAGTCTGACCGATGTTGTCGAGGCAGCAGCCAGTTGAACTGCCCTTCGAAAAATTTTGCCCATCGTTCAGAACGTCGATGGATGTTAGTGATTGGCATCTCATCATCCTCGTAGATTGTTTCGCTCACACAAGACTTCTTGCTGCCAGTGGCTCTGATGAGTTGGAAGAGCTTCCGGTAATTACCAGATGCAGCTGCTGCTCCCATCTCATTAGCACTCTCCGACCACCAGGCTTCTCGGTCCTTAGGCAAGCTTTACCCGACTTCATTAAGTGACAGTCTTCGTTTCTGGTCAAACTCACGATCACCCGGAGTAGACCGACCGGCTTCGATGAATTATAAGGAGACTTAAGAAACCCAGTGTTTATAAGCGGGACGTTTCGCGAACCCACAACTGACTGTACCCGCCATTTTCATGGCGTCATGCAATTGCAACCAATGCTCATCTATACTTTTCGGTGGAATGGTAGCTAGCCTAGAAGCTAGCTCGGTTCGATACTTACCAGCAACAGAAGCTGCAACCAGCTTCCTAATATCAATCCGTTGATGGCGATCACTTCGTTGTCCACTGAAAAGTAAGGTAAGATTGGCGCAGACAAGGGCATGATCAGAATTCAGATAGGTACTTCAAAAGGAGCGTCAGTCTTGCGCACAACCACGCCAGTTGTAGCTGATCGCGATGTGATCAATCTGAGTCCAGGCTTGAGATGCAGAGGGAGGACACCAGGTGGCACATCGGCGATGACTGTGCCGAAAGCTAGTGCTAGCCAGAAACAGGTTGTTGTCTGTGCTTAGTTGCAGCAGACGGTCCCCGTTATCTGTCCTGCGACCAACAAGTCCCCACCGGCTACCTAAACGACTCTCTTCTGTGCCTAGACGCCCGACCTGAGCATTCAAGTACTAGTACTAGTACTACAATATCTGTCGAACGCACTTTCTGGGGAAGAACAGATAACTGGTGGTAGAATTCATCCTTGATTGCATCCGGGCTGCAATCTGTCGGGCATAGGCGAAAATGACGAAAAGACGTCGTTTCTCACGCCGGTTTCTTCTCCCTTGGATAGAACTTTCTAATCTAACAGCACCTAATCGACCGTTAATGGGAATCCAATCGATTAGTGCTGCCTCAGCTCTAGCGCTTAGTGCGACAACAACGCCAGCAAGACCAGATGAAGATGCCACAGATTCCTCGGATAAACGCACGTAAAACAAGCTTTTCGAACATCGATATTAAGACTTTCTAAAGACATAGCCATCCCTATCTGTCGTCCAACTTGCATAACTGTGCGAACTTTGAAGGCAACCAGTTTGAACGGTGCACGGGGTTCCAGAAAAACTGCTTCAGTACTCATATTCGGCGGTAACATACAATTTTCAACCGGACAGTGACTCGAGAACGTTTAGATAGAGTCGAATTTCCACCATAGGAGAGCTGCTGTGTAAGTCGAAAAAATAATTATAAACAGAGTGAGAATAAAAAAGGGTGAATAATGACGTAGTAAATAATAAAAATAATAACAATTATATGTGAAAATTATATTTGAAATATTCTCAGCGATATAACTTTCACATATAATGACTTCTCTATACTCGGCGCTCAATTACTGTCAAACTATTCGTTCTAATCTTGACGAATATTCGTATAAATAACAATAATAGTAATAATAATAATGCGAGTAACTTGACTGTTATTTGTAGCGAGAGGAATATTTTTCACAAGTAGATAGTTTATCATGTTTTTGTGTGCAGGCCGAGATACTGCCCGGGTGTCCAGACCGAAGCAGTTGGTTATCTTAGGGGACCACACCCCGAGCCATTGACCTAAAGGTCTAACCCACAAGGCAGTGGAGCATCGTGAGGAGATGCAGTCCTATGGCAGCCGGTGACCAATAGTTGGTTCATACGCCATTTGATCCTGCAAGATACTGGAGCCCATGTGCACCATTGATTTTGTTTGGGATCCGGTAAATTCGCCGAAATTCCCTTTTCATCCTCTCATTTTCGTGAACAACACCCCCGCCATGAGAAGACAGTTAGTAGAACTTCCCTGGCAGAGGCTGTTTACGCGTGGCCGTGTAAGAGTATTTCGAGAAAGAGGGTGAACACACCCCCTTCTCAGCCATACCAGGGCATTTGAGGGCCGTATGAACTAGGAATCCCAGAATTAACGCAACTGAATCAAGAATTACGACACAAACACGAACGAATGAATTGTATCTAGAATTCGAAATCGAGCATTCAACAAGTACAAAAGAATCATTAGTTAATTCAAACACCACATTCGCCACAGCTTAAATTGGAATATAATTGTCTGTAGTAGGTTGTACGTCTTCTTCTTAAGTTCATCTTCAGTCTGTCCGACATCATATTGGATAAAACTCTGTATTATCTAGAATACACTCATTAGTATTAGAATTAACAACTGAAATCGGAACAGACT